CTTTACCGTTTCTTGTTTTGTTGCACTATCATTAGTCATTTCTGGGTTTACATTTTGTACTTTGTGTTGGCATCATTTTTGTGACCAAGAAGCAATATCACACTCGTAGTAAGTGAACGGAGGAGACTGAACTGCACAGGATTGGGGCTGGTAACCGGTCGGTTATAATGATAGTGCAACAAAACAAGAAACGGTAAAGAACAAGAACACCATCAAGAATGAAGGCAATGAAATATGAATAACATTATAAATCAGTAAAATGGTGATAGGTTTATACAGCATACACCCGTCGATGGCTGAATGTAGCCGAAACTAGTAGTGTATTTAAATGATGTTTTAAATCTTTTAATATTATTTTATTATTATAATTGTGAGTGACTGTAACTTTTAATATATATTTTAATAAAGTACTTTGGTCATATCATGCGAGCCGACAACAGTCTAGAAATATCGATAATGCTTGGAAAAGTGGAAGGTAGTAGGCATAGAGGAAGACCCAGGATGAGATGGATTGATGGAATCAGCGAACTCTGTGGAAAGACCATGGAAAAACTGAGGACAGTTACTAGAGACAGAAGAGGATGGAGGGATTTTGTTCATAATGTCACTAGGGGCCGGCCCCGACTCAATGGTAACTGAACTGCCTTCTGGGTTGTTGCATAATGTAGTCTGGTAGCATTTTACTGCCATTTCAGTGGTCCTTGCTGCCTCCATCATCAGGGTGATGAGTGCCCTGGTGATTGGTGCAGAAAGAACCTCTGAAATGTTAAACTATCAAACTACACAGCACAACAACACAGAAGGCAGCCATCTTGTGTGCTGCACGTGGGTATAGTTATTGTCCATCTTGGCTGACAAACATTGGTAGACTCTCTAAAATAAGAAGACAATTTTGTTATCTTCATCAGATAGTGATATAGACTGCTGTTGTCAATAAAAAGCTGTTAGAGTCTTATTAGAGCACACTTTGTATTCCAGTGGGGAATTTAAACTTACTTGTTTTGGTAACTTGTGTCACTAGATGGCAGAGGAAATACATGATGTTTGGAAGTTTAGGAATCTGCAGAGCATTATTACTGTGATAAAATTATGTTAATTCATGATTTTGTTTTATTTTGAATCACTATTGCCTTATTATTTTGTTTGCAAGTTTTACTTTTCTAATTTTACTTCAGTTTTCAATATTAATTAATACAATATGTTGAAAGCATATAACATAATTTGTGTTGAATATATATTCTTACTGCCACCTCTTAATTATTGGTTGGTAGAAATTTGCCGATCTGTATGCCTTTCAAACAAACCTTCATGTATTTTATCAGCTTTTAGTACACGTGTAAAGTGTTAAACAAAAAACTTTTATTCTTTATCTTTTGGTTCTCTTGCTTCCATGAATATGCAGGACGGCCAGTGGATGTACCACAGTGTGTGGAAGTCATATCAAAATTAATTCTGTTTGAAACAATAATATGAAATGTTAAATTAATGAAATGAAAGCAGCGTGGAACATCGTAAAAAGATTGACAGGTAAAATACATCCACCAGAACAGATGCCATCTCTTCTTATAAATGAAAAAAAAGTGAAGCAAAATTCAGCTGCCATTTCTCACCCTAGTCTCCTGGTTAACTGCTAGATGGCTCTGGCAGTCAAATCAGGATTAAGTAGAAGTTATGCAGAGTCAGTGGGCTGGTCACTCACTACTCATAAATGCACTTTTCAAGACCAAGAAAACCTCCAAAAAAGAGAGGAAAAAAGCGGACCCTGCCAAAGCGGGAAAAATGCTAAAGATAAAGACTACAAGAAGTTGCTGTATAATATAGTTATTTTTCGAATTAAATGTATTATATTTTATGCTGAAATTACAATTTTATAGTTTGTAAATTAAAAAAAATATGCTATTTTTGTATGTAGAAAGAACAAATAGAAACATTTTGAAGTATAGTTTCTGAAAAGTGGTATCAGCCATGAAGCAAGGTTACATTCTTTAATATAAAATCTGTTATAAGTAAAGTTTTTTTTATAAAAACATGTAATAATGTCATAATTTTTTATTGTATCTAGAATCTAGCATTACAAGGGTTAAAATCAAGGATGTTCTGAGTGCCCCTGTTTGTGTGAAAACACGCACCATATACCAAGGACCAGAGTGGTGTATTCTTCTACACTGGTAACAGAGAGGTGCCAAATTAATGTGGAAGTTTGCAGAGCTACTTATGGAATTTGTAAATTTGTAGCTTTGAAAACGTTGTACATTTTTTTCAGATTCTGTGTCAGGAATTTAACCGCACAGAATGCCAAAATTTTATGCAGTCAAAATAAATGTCAGATCATTTCTGTAAACTAGATAATGAACTTTCTTTGGTGCTGTGACATTGAGAATTCTTTTTAAAAAAATGAGGTACTACTTCAATCCTCTCTTTCTTTTTACTTAATGGGGCCGTAGGTTTTGGTCTTTCAAGTCAGTTTTACAAAGTTTATAAAATATATAATACAGTTCAGACCTAACCTGGGACATAGTTTGAGGAAAAATAGAAATTTTGTTACAAGATCCCAGTTAAATAGGTTTTATAGTGGATTTTGTAGCAATATTATCAGTCCTGGAACCAAATATATTTCCTCTCATGGGGCATCTTCCCAATTAATTCTTGACTTAGGCTCGATCACCTTGCAGTTATGAACACAAAATTCTGCATATCTGTTGGTTTACCTTAGAATAATATCCACTGATTCACCATAAAAAAGTTGCCTGAAAGTTTCTGATACAAGTAGGCCCGTACATGCGGGTGAGCGGGCCATCATTTTTAAAAATTCAAGCATATCATTGCACAAAATAAGCTGGTGGTTGTAATATTAATTTGGCACACTTCATGAACTAGGCTATCAGTTATGTATCTCTTTCTTCTTTAAATGTTGTAGAAATCTTTGGATTAAATAGCTTTTGTAAGACTTGAGGTTCTCACAGCGGTGAGTATGAAGATGTCTGTCTTCTGGGTTGTTGCGCTGTGTAGTCTGGTTGATGTTAGCCAACGTTTCAGAGGTCATACTGCC